TAACCTACCCCCAAAACAACTCGATTCCACATGTTCAGGCACCCAGTTTTGGCTTCCAACTTATCGGACATGGGCTGGAGCCGCCTTTCGGACTGCGTGGACGGTAGGCAAGGTTTCGGCGATGGCCTTAGCAGCAGACTTTGCTGTCGCAGACTACAAGGCCCCTTTTTCGAACCTAAACCCTAAACCGTTCGGCTACCAATTCGTCCAGAGCAACCTCCAGCTCCACGTCGCTCAAATCAAGCCGAGCCAAATCCAGGTCAGGAGTTTCTCCAATCCTGGACACCGAAACATGTACAAATTTACATATTCTCGCACTCACACTCGACAAAGCAGGCGAGGCTTCTGTCCGTTCAAGCAGCTCTAGACAGCCCTAGCACATTGGCCCCGAGCAAGGCACATGCGTATTACACATACATATACATACACATGTACATAGACACACACACACATATATATATATATAGAGATGTACATGTTATATACCTATCTACATATATATATATATGTATGTATGTATGTATGTATGTATGTATGTATGTAAAGTATGTGTGTATGTATGTATGTTCTATCTGTATTTATACACACATGTACACATTGTACATTTTATATGTATATATATATATATTATGTGTAGACATTGGCATTGGCAAATGCTTACCGATCGCAGAACCGTTGCACCCGAGCAACATGAAAGGAATAGGCAACGGAGTCATTGTGCGGCCGCTACATGACTTCAGGTATCGCTCCCTCGCCGGATTGCTTACCTCGGTCCAGCATGACGAACTCGTGCGAGTGCGACTAATCATGTGACTCCTTCATTTGCAGCTGTGTGACGGGGGGCAGCTTGAGCAGTCCACTGCCACTTTTTGAAAGTTTGAGAGCCGGGTCGGACTTTGTCAGCGTCCGCCCTCAGTGTTCCGAGATGCGTTGAGGGCCGAATCAGTTTGGGTGGTGCACCCGTCGGGTGATCTGTACTTCAGGCTGCCGCGTAGTGATGGTTGCCTCGACAAGGTGGTACTGTACGGGATCGTTCCAGAGGAGGCCTGACCGTGCCGCAATGGACAAGACAGATGTGTCACTTGTCATGCTGTGAATTTCTACAGTACAGGCAGTACAGGCAGCACGCAAAACACTGCCTTGCCGCTAGATCCACCAGGTGTTCTGCTCCTGGAGGCATGCACTGGCGGGTTGTTGGTCCAAGCATCGGACTTGTCTCAGCAGCTCGTGGTGCAGCATGCTGATATGCGGCTTCAGGCCTGCCACCGCCATGACGCCTCGTTTCAACCAGGAAAGCAACCATACAAACACGCACGCGGACGCATAACACGAAAAGCTTCATCTAAAGTTTGAGGGTTGGAAGGCTCTGTCACTGAAGCCAATGTTTTGCCAAGCAGCAGCGGCAGCGTGTTCCATGCATCCTGCATGCAAACAGGGGCGTGGCCACCGCTTTCTACGGTTGCGCCCCGGCCCGTTGGTGGGTTTGGGCAGGCCTCCCCCCTTTGGTAACAGCTCTTCATTTACTGGTCGTATGAATGAATCTGAGTCTGCTGACGGTCGGAAGGCTTGGGAAGGCTCTGGCCCGCCGCCGGGGCTTAGGACGGAATCCGGAATACAAGCTATGCTTGTAGCTTGCCATGTTTCGTCCTTGTGATATTCATACCAGAAGTCCTTGGGCAAATCGCCATGCTGTTCGACGGACGCCAGAGCTGAGAAGCAGAAACTTGACCAGCCAAGTCTCCACCACCCTCACTCGGTGCTCAAAGGAGTGTTCACGCGGAGTTTCTCGAATAGATCCTGCGAGCCATGGGTGTTTGCCCACGACAACTCAAAAGCAAGGGCTCTGAGTTATACTCTGAGTGGGCTCTATTACGGCTCTATACGTTTTATCCATCAGGGTTCTAGTGTAAAGCTCTACAGTAGGGCTCCCGGGTTCTATAAAATAAAGGGAACTCCCCAAGCATCTCTTCCTAAACCCTACTCCAAAGCGGTCTCCGTCATTTGCCCGCTCGTAGCGCGAGACCCAACTCCTGACCTCGGCTCCGAACGGCTCAGGCTCAGCAGCGGCAAGGCTCTATTGGACGAGGCTATCGTATTAGTACGGTATTAGTATTGTATTAATGTAGTATAGTATAGTATAATCTAGTATAGTATAGTATAGTATAGCATAGTATATAATAGTATGGTTAGCATAGTGCAGTAGGACAGTAGAGGATACTATGCCATAGCGCAGCCTTTCGTTGATTGCTCTTCCTTCCCTTTCGAACCCCACACTGCGACACGCCTGCTTCTGCATCTCCCGGCAGCCAACGGAGACCTCTGCGAGGTAGGAAGCCTGAGTGATTTCGGAAAGTCAGCCCGGGGTAGTATTATTAGTATAGCATAATATAGTATAGTATAACATAGCATAGTATAGTATAAGAAGCAACTCAAGTGCCGCAATGATGCCCATTCTTTGAACCGGTTCTTCGGTGTGGGAAGATATCCGCCATCAGCTGCGGGGAGTCTCTTTTTCTCCACCGTCACCGTGTGGGCAATCACCTGGTTCGAGCTGAACTAGGAATCCGGAAACCGAGTGCAAGGACTGCCCGACATGTCGGGCAGCGTTTTCGAGAGAATGCCAGGCCAAAGCACTGCCGCAAGCTCCTCCGTCATGATCAAGAACCGACAGTCACTCACAGCTGCCGTCTCATCAGGATCCGGAAGCTGCAGAACCTTTAAGGCGAAGCATCGGGGCTCTTTGGGAGAGAGGGGCTGGGCGCCTGTGTGATCAGCTTCAGCTCTGCGCGAGCAGGTACCACGACGTCCCCCGTCAGGACGCTCCTCGTCCACCTTAGCACGCTTAGAGCTGGGAGTGTGGGGGGAGGGGGGGGGGGAGGGGTGGAAGCCGTTTTTTACCGCTGTGCTTCAAGCTGCATTTTCACAATGAAAGTCCCCAGAGCAATCATGCGCCGTCGCTCCAAGAAGTCGATGACTTCACCATCCTCGAAACAAGCTCGCGCGACGGGTCATGGGTCATCATGGGTCATGGGGCAGCGGAGCACAAACCCTGACAGAGTCTTTCGAGGCTCTGTGTTTGGCACTGGCTGGGTCAAATCCACCGACACACGCCGCGATCTAAGAACGCCTCCCAGGGCCAGAAAAGCAAACGACTCGCAGCTGATTTCAACGCAACTTCGGCCTGCCGCAAAGGTGGGGCTCACCGTCCGACTCATACTGGTAGCGTGACTTTTGGTCCCCGGGCTTTGGCCGTGGCTGCCAGTCAAATCTGACAGGGCTGTCTGCGCACCAAACGCATGCACAAGGGTAGTTAGGGTCCCTTTTAGGGTCCTTTCTCCAAGGGTGAAGTGCTGTTTGGGGGACCTAAAGAGGGACCCTAATTTAGAGAACTACCCATAAACGAAGCCGCAGAACAGGCTCCGGCAAGGTTAGGCCTGCGTCGTTCGAAAACAGATCACTCTCGAGCTCCATTGAGTGTCCTCTCACCCAAACACCAGGAGCATGACCACAAGTCGGCTTTGATTCTGGCACACAAGTAGCACCTCGTGCCACATGAAACTTTGCTGTAAACCGTCTTACACCAAGCTTTGCTTCACTGACCTGGTTCAATCTGGGGCATGCTGTTGCGGCAGTGTCCTGCTGCCTCACCCCACAGAAGCGGCAGACCAGAATCTTCATCTTCCAGTTTTGGCATACCCGCATCCATCGGTGCATCGTCTCCTCTGCATCCACTACGTGCAACAACTCGTGATGTCGAGATATAATGGACGCAGACTTTAACCAGGACGCCTCCTGCAACTCCTGGGTATTCATTCATTAAGAAGAACTCGGCATCAGATTCATCGAACGGGTGCTGCGAATTCTGACGAACTTCGTCGCCTGACATGGCATGTCATGGCATGTCACAATCCAACAGACTCTCCCACGTAGGCTGCAGCCAAGAGTCGAACGGCGAGAATTCGTGAAAGTCCTTTCCGCAGGCGTCGCTCCGAGTGCTCCGGCTGGGAGGCCTTATTCGGACTCCTGGCACATCCCGGGCTCTGACTTCACGCGAACACAGAGAGCGCCTGCCTCGGGTAGGAGCCAGCAAGTAAGATCCTCAGCAAAGTCGGCTTCTCAAGCTAGTTGGTTTCGTGGCCAACTCGATGGGGTTACCAAATACGCCGAATGGAGTCCAAGTGTCGCCAGCTCTTTCCGCTGTTTGAGCCAGCTTGCAGCCATGACCGTGCCCGAAGACCACGGCAACGAGCGCAGGCTGCATTGGTAGTGTGCCAACTATGTTCCATAAGCAAAGCAAATACTTGCGTGTACCAAGACGGCAATTGGGCGATGCTCAGCTGCAGGCAGTTTACAGACTGGCGAACAAGGACGTCGAGTAAGTAGCAGTCCCGAGTTACTTCGTGTTCAGCCTTTCACCCGCTCTTCGCGCTGATGACCCCCTACTTTCCACTTGCATGCGGCACAGCAGAGCCGATCATGTCCATGGGTGTTGCGGGTTGGGAAGGGACTTCTGCTCTGGGTCAACCAGGGGCCCTTGAAGTAGGATAAACGAGATCATCAGGCGACGTGCCAACTCTAATCACTAATCCGACACTAGAACATCGCACCTCAAGAGTCCTTTTTCGAGACAAAGCCCTGAACTCCCATCACCTAACTTTGCAGTGGGGCCTGCGCCACTTCTGAGTAGACAGCATGAGGACCTGCTGGTCTTTAGCCGACCCTCATCAACTATGAATGACCAGCTTGGTCTTGCATGTGCAGGTGATCACTGCTCCTGATGCCCCTTCTTTTGCGATCATGCGTCATGTGACAATGAAGCGTCTCGAGACCCATCAATGGCAGGTGTCTTGCCAAGTGGTGGAGCTCGCTTGCCAAGGTCAACCCGTGATGGCTGACAGATGCAACTCTCTACAGTTTCTGTACAAGCTGTACATTTTTATGCGGGCACACATAAGCACTATCTTCACTACATCCTCTGGCAACTCAAGTTGGAGACATCTCTAGTTTTCGGCTTCCCGCGTCTTGACGTGCCCACCGCCACAGGCACAACACATCCGGCCAGCGCGAAATGATGCAGTGTCCCAATCTCCTCAGGCCGTGCAGCAGCAGCAGCAGCAGCAGCAGCAGCAGCAGCAGCAGCGGGCAGCGGAAGAAGATACATCATGCAGCGAAAGCATGCAGTGGTGCAGCCTTACTTGGTTGATTGCTTGTCTGGGCAAGTTGCCACATTCTGGAGCTGTGCGCTCGTCGTAATAGTCACAGTGGTGGCCCTGAGCATCATGTTCATCGCCTGTCTCAGCATGAGAGAGTCTGCGCATGCCAGAGATGCCCAGCCAAGCCTTCGGTGTTTACGCAGGGAGGCTTGCAGCAGGTTGCCACATCGGAGCCAATGATGCCTGGAGGACACACTGTAAGCCTGCAAGTCGCTGGTCCTTGAAGCCTGCGTGCCTGATACCAGCAAGAGTCAAGAGAGCATGGAAGTTTATGCAACAGCCTGCTGCACCAAACTTCTTCTGATGGCCATCTGGGCAATGAAAGATGTCACAAGCATCCGTCTTTGCGAAGACTTTCCTTGCACAATTGTCTGCAGCCGGTGGTCCCGGCGATCCGCTTTTTTCAAATCTGACATGATGTCACTGGAAGTCAACTGTCTTGTAAGCTAAGCTGGGGGGCAACACTTTCAGCTTGTCACTAAGTTCCGCCCGTTTCTGAGGGTGCACCTAACGCAAGCAAGTCATTGCGCCCTGGTGAGGAAAGCACGCAATGACATACAGGGCTGGAGCAGAACACATCCCGGATGCCTTGCCCTCCAAAATCTTCATCACGCGAACTATTTCGTCTGCGGCATAGTTAGGTCCTTGAGCCAGGCTCTTTTCCATGATCTTCATATACCTTTCACACACATCAAGCTCGCTGTCGCGTTTCCCACCGTCTCCTCCTATGCTCGCTCGCGCGGGAACAGCCATTCTTGGCTGCGGCTTTGTGCAAACAAGCTGCATGGGCGCTTTGGCATCGTTTCGGTACTTCTGCTCAAGCTCCCGTGCTCGTTCCACGTGCCTGGCGAGGGCAGGTTCGGCTAGGGGCAGGGAGTAGAAAACAAGATTCGCTGGGCCGGTAACCCTACAAACCCTAATAGGCGAATTCAGTGCCTCGCACTGGCATCTTTGAGGAAATCGTTGACGATGTCGTCCAACTCATCGATTGAATCGATCGACGGCATAGAGATCCCACGCGAGCGACTGAGCAGTGGTGCAACAGGTGGCCCATGGCCCACGGGCTGCACTGCACAAGCCGCGATAGTGGCAACAGCTTAGTAAAACGAACAAGCACAGCTGTCCATGACAGACTGCTGGTGACGCTGACAGTCACCGGCTTGAGATTGGCAGAGCATGTCGAGGCACAGCCATTTGATCATGTTGGCTGCTTGAACTGCATCCACATATCGCGTTGCATCATTCGCGCCTTCCTCAGAATCATGTATAGCAGAGCTCCGGCCCGGGGCCACGCACCGAACGCTGCCAAGAGTCGACGAAAAGGAAAAAGGCCGGAAAGTCGTTCAAGGTGAGGTTGAACTTCTCACGGACCTCAGCCACCCCTAGCCCCAGCATTCACAGGCCGACGCAGGCTTCCGTCAACATGCTGATGGAGACGAGAGCAGCGTTCAGCCTGGCTACGTCGTCATTCTCTTTCTGGTTGAAGCGCTGAACAGGAACTTCAGCAGCAAAGAAGTTTGGAACTGCATATGCCAACTGGCAAATTGTTCTGAAGGCTTCGGCTTTCCTGGGATCAACCGCAGAGCCTATCTCTCTGGTTCGGAAGCCGGAGCTGCACAAAACGGACACATGTGCGAGTTGCGACATGTAAGGATACTCTGGCCAAGCATCTCACCTCATTTTGCTCGCTCGAGACACTGTAGCAGTAGCAGTGCAGTAGCATTACTGAAATGATCTTGCTTGCTGCAGGCAAGCAGCCGTAAGCGTACGGCTCATCAATCCTGGCCCAGCAGGGCATGCGGAAGTGAGCGGATATAGCACAACACAGAGACGTGGCATGACGTGGCTTCTTCGTAGATTGCCGTATCAGTCTCGTGTCTTTCATGCCGCCTAATCGTGCGATTGGCTTGTGCAGGCAGGAGGCTTGACGAAATAGCTCTGGCCAGGTACGGCCAGCATCTTGTCCATTGTAATGGAATCCAGCTTCAAGCAGCCATGTGTCAAGCCATGTGCTACACCTGCAGGGCCACAGGGCAGGTAGTTCGGTGCTGCCCTTGCGCTCCTGTCGCCCCTTGCCTAGTGCCAGTGTCGCAAATACCTTGGGGATAGTCTTAGTGGGAACAAGCACGACATGCAGAAACACAACTGCGATACTGCGACCACTCCCTTTCAACGCCATGCCTACTGCTGCGAAGCTGCGCCAGTTCCGGTCCACCAGGTCATGGCGCTTTGATCCACAAGCTTTCGAGCAGGCTTCCGTCGACTGTCTTAGGGGGCCCTAAACCCTAGGAGTAGGCATCCGGCAACCCGAAGCCCGAAACCCTTCACACGACTGTGCGTGGCGCAGCTCCACGGAGGCCCTCTCTGAGCCTCGAAGTGATGCTTGAGTCAGGGAAGAACTACAGCTCGAGCCCGTCCCCAGGCGACAGGTAGAAGCTTTCGATGGCTAACTGCCTTTACATACTCATCTCCGGATGGTTTGCGCACGTGCTGATATGTGCTGCGACGATTTCTTCCTGCGCGCAGCATGTCAGGAAACCGACGTCTATATAGTATGTCGCTGCAGGTTGACAAATCCGCTCCCAGTTTGCAAGCCGTTTGTCACTGTGCCCACGATGGACGCCCGTGCATGAGACAGTACTGTACCCGCCTACCCTCAATCACATGGCAAACCACCCCTGAAGCGCAAACCCTGAAACCCTTACACTGACCCTTACGCCTGAACCCGACAGAACGGCTGCGGCCAACCGGTGCAACGCCTGGAAGGGATGCTACGATACGCAGGAAGGTCGCAGGATGCAAAGCTGCTGCTGCGATTCAAAGGCCGCAGAAGCAGCAAAGAAGCAAGACCTTTCTTGTACTCGTCGGCGACTGGATGGCCACCTTCAGACAGATCGCCTGGAATTTAAATCGAACATTCCAAACATTCGCAATCCAGTCGCTGGTTGTGAAAGGCCCGCTCGCAGTAGGATGAAGTACAGTTTTGCTGCGTGGTGTTGAAAACCACGTGAGGCATCTCAGTGACCGTCAGATCTGCAATACAGAGCCTGCTCTCAAATGCGGCTCGCACTGCTGATGCGCGGCACATGCAACAAGCCTGGTTGGAAGGCTCACAACCCTGCAGCTTGGTGGCACTTGGAAGTTGGAGATGGCGGCACGTTGCGAAAAATCAGTGTAGCGAGAAAACTTCATCAATGTACCGGAGTTGCGTCACGCAGAACAGAGAAGCATCATGTCTATCATCCCTGGAAATGCAAACCACTCTGAAAGAAGGTGCCTGCTGCAGGGTTTGAAGACCTGCATTGAACAATTCGGAAAATTGCAGGGGGTCGCCTGCAGCCATGTAACATGCTACAAGCTAGCATGTGACAGCCAGCCGCCAACCCCTGGCATCCCTGGATGGTTCTGGGCGAAGTAATGTTACGAATCGATATGTACTACCAATTGGGCATCGAGGTAAGCTCCGAAGAACTTGGCTAGCTTGAATTCAGGGACCTGTTATCCCTGTCTGCCATGTTGTGCACTTCTGAGCATGGTGAATCCTCGGACTCTCTACATCCAACTACTGTTTTTTGCTACGATTTCCGGCATTGCTCGACCTTCAGCTGGCCCCAACAAGAGAAGAGGCCAAGAGTCACGAGGTTTCGATTCAGGGCTCGCGCCAAGCTGGGACTCAAAACAACGAACTTCCGGCACGTCCTGTTCCACAACTAGGACGGCACAGGACGCGCTAGCAGGGCAGCTTCGCAAACATCGCTGGCAACAAATGGCCAGTTCAAGGGCGTCGGCGTCAGCGATGACAGGAAAACCTGTTTGCTGCCTGCAATGCCGAAAGTCTATAGGTCCGTTTGCTGGCATGGAGAAAGAAATTAAGCCTCTGCACGATGAATGGTTGGGAAGAGTTCGTCATCCCATCACCATCACGGCAGCATCTGTACAAATGCAAATATACAAACATTGAATACATTCTTGGGCGTGTCACTCACTTCAGTGCCATCTGCTGGGTTCCGAGAAATCCATTGCATTCCGTGATAGCTTCTGCGACGAAAGCTGCGATCCGGAAAAGACTGATACCGGATAAGCCCAGCAGTGTGACTGTGGAACAGGCCAGCGCTTGGCTTGGTCAGGCAGCCGTCCACGTAAAGGGCGTGCAAAGCTCTGCGACAAGCAAAGCTTCACAGCGATTGTGCTAATGACGCCTCGCACGAGCCCTGCGGTCTCAAAAGGGCATCGCTTGCAGAACAAAACACACAAAACAAAGCACAACGGATTCCCGCTGACTCGTACGAGAACCAAGCCGAATCGGTGTACTTTACATCGTGGATGTATAATAGCCAAGTGGCCAGCGGCTCACTATCGAACCTGAGAGTGACCTGAGCAACGACAGCCGGCTGCTACGCCCCGGCATAGAGACCCTAAGCACAAGTGCTCTGTGGATCGTTGTGGCAGGTGAACATGCCGCGCGCGCGCGGCGCGCGGGTGTGTGTGTGTCTGTGTCTGTGTNNCTGTGTCTGTGTCTCTGTCTCTGTCTGTGTCTCTGTGTCTCTGTGTCTGTGTGTGTGTGCGTGTCTAGTCCTCATTTTGCCCAAGCATTGTACAAGTTTGTTTCCAGCTGGCGAGATGGGCTGAGAGGATGAGAAGAGCATAGATGCCGCGCTCTTTTGCAATTGGAATCCACCTATCGCCTCCAAGGCTCCAATGCTTTTGGCATGCCATAGTGGCCATAGTGGAATGGGTCTGGCTCTCCAGACAGGAACGGGGGGCAATGGCTGCGAAATTGTTGGAAGCTCTCCATCTCTGACAAGGAAGCAATATGGTCGTCAGCTGGGCGCAATCTGTCCATCATGCTCCGTTCTTGAATCAACTGAGCGCCGCACACTAGCCGGCGCTGCTTGCAGAGACATTCGATTGAATGGCTTTCCAGCCCACTGTGCGTATGGAGCCGATTTTGCAGAACGGAATCCTGGAACGACTAAATCCGACTAAAGAGGAAAACGAAGTACGACACGAAACAGATCTCACAAACAGCAGTGGTTCTGCTGCTGTAGATCTGCGTCGTCAACTGCCTGCACACGCCGGTTCTGTCAAATCTTGCAAAATGCAGCTGAAAAAGCACAAGAGTTCGGTATCTCGTGAGCATAGGTAGTGACGGCCAGCTCGCTGCCTTCGATCAAGCGCACGAAGTCGGCACCTCCGTCGTGTAGAAGCTCGGCGTAAATCGATGATTCTTTCATGCCCTGAGGAGCATGCAGGAGCTCTTGTCATACCTCGGCCACAGACCCAGTGCAGCACATTGGCCTTCTATGCCCTCTGAGTCCCATGTCGGTTTCGATTGTTTAGCAGAACCGGACAGAGGGAGTCGAACCGATAGCGAGCAGCAAAGTGTCCTCAACCCCAAGAGGCTCATGAGTTCAAGTCGACAGGCGAGAATGCACAGCGCTAGTCCCCAGAAGGCACTTGGGGGGAGGGGGGAAGGGGTGGTTCACGGAGGGTCTTCATCCTCTGTTCGAAAAGATTCGACAAGCATCTCGGGAAAGGGATAAGCACTTTTTTGATACATCAAACCCTTATGAGGGGCTTCTTCCTCGTGTTTCTTGCCGCATGTAAAGCCGTGCAGTCACGCAGCCGGCTTCGACTTTGCGTCGCGGTAATCCGAGATTGGTCGGGCACATGAAAGCTGATCAAAACAGCCCAACAACCCCCAAGCTTGAAGCAACTCGGAAGACACACCCGAGCCAACTACACCAAAGAGGAAGAGGGGGAAAGGCCTTTACCAAATGGAAAAGGAATTCGGGCATGTCGGAACGAGGCTACGAGACTCCGGACGAAACCTCTGGTGACTGCGTCGCTTTAACAAACCTGGCCAAAGGTTTCGAGGTCCAGCGATTTTGTCGTTTCTGAAGACATCAACGTCCCCAGCACTCAAGCCTCGAGCCACAGCGCTGCCTGGCCTACTTGCCCCGCCATCTTATCCCAACATCCACCGACATAGCTGCACAAATTTAGGCATGTATTTCCCTATCTAAGACCGTCTGTCTGTACTTATCATATGTCTCGCTAGCCAACCTGAACAAACGGCTTTTGAAGCTCAGGCTGCCTTGGTTTGACCCATGAAACACTGCCGACAAGCCTTCACACGGGAAGTGTGGAAGCTGCGAACGTCTTACAGCAAAACCTTCAATGCCCGAGGTTGGACACGGCTCCCTCCGGGGACGTGGCCCTGACACTGCCATGTCCAGAAAGCCCCTCGGCAGATGTCGTTGCTCAGGAATGCAAGCATCGCTCGCAGGGCATTCTGCACTGTTCAACCATCGTGCAGATGGTCTGACGGGCCACTTTTCGACGCGGCTGCAGAGAGTGGTCTCTTTGCTGGGAGGCTCGTCTGCCTGATCGGTCCTACAAGAATGGCTCACGGAGCCTTCGAACCTCAGATGATCAAAGATTAAGATGAGCACGCGCACGGCGTCGCTCAGCGGCTGAGACCAACGTACACGGCGAGCTTGCTCAAGGCAGCTTGGAGACTAATTAGCGGCTGCTCCTCGCCATCTTCTTCCGGATCCAGCTTGAGAGGGAACTCGGTTGACTGCTCGTAGGCATGCTGCGTCGATCCACGGGTGAAACACACAACACCGCAACACTTCTCCAAGACACAAGGAGCACAAAGTTCAGCAAATAGCCACCTTTCTGGCTTGCTTGAATAGCGAGCACAACACCAAAAGTATTACAGATGCCATATGAGAAGAGCTTGGCTTGCGGCCCCTTACGCTTAGTTGATTCTTCTTGGTATCTAGGAGAAGCTCCGAGGCTCACTTGGTTCTTGGCTGCCTAACAGGCAGACGTAATATTGTATTTATATACGCAGAAACAGATATATATATATATATATACATACATACATACATACATGCGTTATATATAAACATATGTATTACTTATTTGTTTACTTATTCATTTATTCTTGCATGTGCACTTGCATATATACATATATATATATATATGTATATGTATATGAGCGTTGATCAATATTCCTGGATTATTGTTTTTCTTTCGCGGGACTTTCGCCCTCACTT